CGAGAGAGAGAGAGTAGAGAGACGAGAGAAGAGTAGAGAGAGAAGACGAAGAAGAAGAAGAGAGAGAAGAAGAAGAGAAGAAGAAGAAGAAGAAGAAGAAGAAGAGAGAAGAAGAAGAAAAGAAGAGAGAGAGAGAAGAATAGAAAAAGAAGAGAGAGAGAGAAGAATAGAAAAAGAAGAGAGAGAGAGAAGAATAGAAAAAAAGAAGAGAGAGAGAGAAGAATTGAAAAAAAAGAAGAGAGAGAGAGAAGAATTACCATCTGAAGGAACCAAGAAAGCCAAAAAAGTGAGATTTTCTGATGAAGTAGATATGATAGAGATACCAAACAGAAGTGGTCTGGTTCAAGGCAAACGTTTCTCTCCTGAGGAAGATGAACTAATAAAACAAGCTGTCTCTGATTATATCGAGGTACATAGTAAATTTTTAGCCAGTTTTAGCACTCGGTTTTGTGTTATTCATAATCTATTTATAATTGTTTTTTTTGGAATGACCTGAAGTTTAAAGAACTTGGCCCTTGGGTGTTTCAAAAGTTATAGCCCAATAGAATTTCAGCAAAAACTTGTCAAATATCAGGTGAAACACTATAACATAAATCAAAGTTTAAGGAACCATGAAATAATTCCATGAGAAACACGTAGTTTTTGTTTTTGTATTATTTGGTAATTTTTTTCATTTATGGCTCTTCCTCACTAAAAGTTTGCAAAATGACGAGAATTCACTGTCTTGAGATCTATGGTAATCATCTCTTTTAAGGTTTTCTTGGAAGAAGCTTGCAAAAATCTTGCAGAGTCCTCTTGACTTGAACTTGAAGTCATATTTTAGGGTCCCAAATGCCTTAGTTTCTAGGATCTGTTTATGCTTTTTATACTGACTTGTTTCTTGGTTGATATTCCATTCACATTGTTCATCCTAAAAGCTGGCATTGATGTGTTCATTTTCTTAATTTTTATAAAGGATGGCATGCAATAGCACACATTGTTTAATTGATGCGTTTTTGTATTTTATGGATGACATTCTTAAACTTTTGAGGTTAAAATGATGGAATGTTATCTTCTAGGAGCGTGGATTAGGTGAGGTTGGTGAGGATATGGTTTATAATAGTGGACGCCATAAAGAGACATGGAACTGTTGGAAAGAAATTGGTGAGCAATTACCTTTTATGCATTTTATTGTCATGTGGAACACCTTTGCTTTTTGGACAAATACATCTTGGGCATTTGTTATCCTTGCTGTTTGGATCTCACTTGCTAGTAGTCATATAGAGGTTTTATTCCATTTGCTTTCTGTGCATTTTGTGAGAAATATATGAAAAGAATGCGTTGAGAAAAATGGACAAAGGGACCAAGAGGAGGATGGCGTTTTATTCTGTCATCTCCACATGTTTCATGTCATGGGAGCTGGTTTGGATAGGGTGGGTAAGGCTTTCTCTCTCGAGAAATGAGGACACTTGGGTCCTAAATTAGGGTTTCTTTATCTAAGCATGTCTCTCTCTCTCCCTCTCTCTCTCTCTCTATATATATATATATATATATATATATATATTATATATAGTAAAATTGGGTTGATTATGGAGTTAAGATGGACCATGGGAGGAAACTAAAATGCTAGATGATCCATGGGCGGATTATCAAATTTTTGTTTTGTCATTATTGAAAAGGGTGCGTTTGTTGGGTGTTTTTTGGGGAAATTTTAAAGGATTACCCTTGGAAGCTTTGGGGGTTCAAATACCCTTCCCTTCCGCTGTTATTTGAACCTTTTTTTATAAATTCGTGGCCGTTTTGGCTTTGTAAACTTGTAGAGGATCGAGCTAGGACCATTTTGCCTCAAATTTCATTAAAAGAACTCTTTTGTGGGTGCAGATCACTTTTTTTACAAAGTTTTAACCTTCAAAATCACCTTCAACCTTCATAGGAACCATGACACATCTTTTAGGGTGTTCATGGGTCGAGTTGGGTTTGGGTTGGGGCCGACCCTGACCTGATCTGGAAGCTGAATGGGTGGACATAGACTTGGACCTAGACCCGACCAGGTCTAAGGCACCCACACATAGACCTGACCTAGGATAAACTAGAGAGACCTAGACCTCACCTAGGCTTTTTATATTTTATTTTATTTTTTTTAACATTTAATTAGATACAAAGAAATAAAATTTATTTTACACAACAAAAAATATTTATTAGAAATATTTTATACGACAAGTTTGATATCATATTTAATTTTATGCATGTATATTATATATTATAACATTGTCATGATGAGCTTGGTGAGCTCTCTCTCTCACTGTTTTCAGCTTGTTAATGATGTTAATGGATGGTGGGATGTTATGTTTAGGCATCAGCCCCCCTAGGCACCAATGCTCCAAACCCGGTCCCATATGTGTTCTCTCTCTTTCTCTCATAAGGAAGACCTCTCTCTCTCATGGAAGAACTCTCTTTCACACAAAACTGTCCTTCATACCCCTCCCCTTATTATTATTATTATTATTTTTGAAACGTCCGAACCCACTTTATTTTATAGTGTAGTGGATGAGTGAAGCTGTAAATATGAGTTATGCGGTTGAAGGCTTCTAGCTATAAAATATTATATCATCATCATCATAATCATTTCCCAAATAATTGGGGTTGGCAATATGAATCCTGGTCTGTCATTATGCTCTATTAAGGGTCATACTCTTAGTGAAGTCATAAGTCCCCATATCTTTTCAGACTACTTCCAACCACATCCTTTTGGGCCTACTCTTTGCCCTTTTAGAGCCTTCCACTTAAACTAACTCGCAGCTCCTAACAGGTGCTATACTGGGTTTGCACCACACATAGCCAGCCCACGTAAGTCTACTTTCTCTCATCTTATCACCTATGGGTGCCACGCTTAAATTTTCCCAAATGGATTCATTTCGAATTCAATATCTTCGTGTCTTGCCACTCATCCATCCCAACATCCTCATCTTCGCTACATTCATTCTATGGATATGTTGTTTTTTGTCTTCTCAACATCCCGTCGCATAGAGCAAAATTGGTGTCACAGTTGTCTTATGGTACTTGCCTCCAGCTTCATTGGTATGCGACGATCACATAAAATTCCTATTGCACATCTCCAGTTCGTCCACCTAGCTCTAATTATGTGTTTGACATCTTCCTCAATCTCTTCATTTTCTTGGATTATCGATCCAAGATATCGAAAGTGAGGTCCTTTTGATACTTCCTAGCCGTCAATCGTAACTACTTTCTCCTGTCTACTTCTATTATTACTAAAATTGCATTTCATATATTGTCTTAGTCCGGCTAATTTTAAGACCTTTAGATTCTAGAGCATCCCTCCAAAGTTCTAACTTTGTGTTGATGCCATTTTGGGTCTCATCGATCAAAACTATGTCATTTGCGAACAACAGGCACTACGGTACCTCATTCTGTAGGTGCCTAGTTAAGTCATCCATAACTAAGACAAAGAGATAAGGGCTCAATGCTGAACCTTGATGTAGACTTATTGTCACTGAAAACATACTCATCTCTCAACTAGTTGGTCGTACACTAGTTAATGTTCTATCATACATATTTCTCACCAAGTCGATGTAGTGACTGGAGACTCCTTTCCTTTCTAATATCCACCAAATCAAATCTTGAGGTACTCTATCATAAGCTTTCTCTAGAACAATAAAGACCATGTGGAGGCCTTTTCCCTTCACCTTAAACTTCTCTATCAGTTGCTTAAGTAGGAAAATAGCCTCGGTTGTTGACCTACTTGGCATAAAACCAAATTGGTTGTCAGATACACTCATTTCATGTCTTAGTCGTTGCTCAATCACTCTCTCCTAGAGCTTCATAGTACGACTCATAAGCTTGATTCCTCGATAGTTCATACAATTCTGTATGTCTTATTTGTTCTTGTAAATAGGTACCACAATACTTTTCTTCCATTCGTATGGCATTTTCTTTGTTTTCAACTCCTTGTTGAGCAACTTCGTTAGCCAGTCAATGCTAATCTCCCCCATGCACTTCTAAACCTCTATCGGGATACCATCTGGTCCTAAAGTCTTTCCTATAAAATATTATATAATAGTAAATTATATTATAACATATATTGTATAAAGATATAAAATGAAATGATAGTAGATTGTGTAATATATAATATTATTATAATAAAGTAAATAATTATATATTATAATAAATAATAATTATATATTATGTATTATAATAAAATAATTTAAATAAACAATTATATGATAAATATCATTAATTACATATTAAATATTTAAGTTGGATTGGGTCCTTACTTTTGGACCCGACCCAAAGATATTGGGGTTCTTACTTTTGGACTTGGACCCGACCCAACGATATCGGGGTTCTTAGGACCTAGATCCGGATGGGTCGACCCGACCCGCTAACCACCTTTGTATATCTTATATAGATGGATAGGGGGTTGAGTGAAGAACTTGTTTGCAAAATTTCAGCTTAAGATTCCTCTTGGCTTGAGAGAAATCAACCACGGATTGGCTCGATGTCATCCAGGCTGCAACACATGAACTTTCTTCAACCACCAACTTTATGCTTTGATCTACCCATGATCGACGCTAGAAAACCCCTTGATAGGCAAATGTATGGAAAGGGCATTGAACAAGGAAAATCATGTTCCCAATTTCTGCCAATTTCCCCATGGGAATTAGAAGAAATGGGCAAAAGAAAATGGGAGTATTGACCTCTTTTTTTGTTGTGTTTTGGCTATGGTGAATAGTACCTGCAGTAGCATTTGAATATTTTTCTACCATAAAGAAAATGATACCAAATGATGAGAGGAGGCATTGAATTTTAGATTTAGGTTTTCTGTCATCGTGCAAAGTTTCAGCTCCGTCGGGTACCATTTTCGGGGGTCCTTTGACCCACTTTTTCCATTCTACCAGGCCACTATCTGTGCTACAAAGGTTTCCACTTGCATATCTCGGGCTTCCTATATCGGAATGGCCTGATTTTTGGGGGGTAACTTCGGAGTCTCTTAGATTAGATTTTAGCCCATCTCGATACCCGTTTGCAACTGTCTTGGTACAGTTTGACCCTCGACCCTTATTAGCTGTCCAATCGTGCGTTTTGGATCGCAACTGAGCCCAAAGCCCACCAGCACCAATAATGAGGTTCCTCCAAAATTGGCCCTGGTGTGTATTAGTTGGAGGGGTTTCCTGGGAATTTCTGACTTTTCCAGTAGTTTCTGGCGTATATGTTACTGGTTTCTTGTTGGAGTGGACGAACATGCAATTTCGCAGTTGGCACTTGCCTTTGATTGGAACCATCATCTCTCCGTGCCTCTTAAGGGTTTTTCAGGCAGGTTGAAGCCCCCAATCCCTGCCCCTAGGTTTTAAGCCTATTCTCAAGAATAGGTTGCAATGTACGGTTGGTGGATGCTTTGATATAGATATACACCCCAAATGATGCAAGTTTCAGTCACACTAAGTAGATTATGTAGGGCCATCTATTTTTGCTAGTCATATTGCCATTTGGAACTTTCTCTACTACTTAAACAGTAATAGATGAGACAAAATGCCCATAACTTTGTTAAATCATTGTTATTAATTATTTACATTTCCTTTTCATTGTGACTCAAACGCTTGAGTACCTTCATGGTTTTTCTTATGGATATGCTACACTCTTTTTTGCTTTCCATTTGTGGATAAGCTGTTTGTATTTACCTTGTTAGTCATTTTTCTCTTTAAGAGTTTTATTTTGATGTTGTTAAAGCTGCAAGTTTACCGTGGAGACCTGTAAAGAGTGTCTATGTGCGGGCACATGTTTTAAGAGAAAGGTCTGAACTGCGCAAATGGAGTGCTGAAGAAATTGAGACCCTCAAAAGGTTTGTCCTTCCATTTTTAATGATTAGTGATTAGCCATTTCAATTTGCACACTCTTTTGGCTGGATATTTTAATTTAATTAATTTGTCTGAATTGATTGCACCTAAATAGGCTGCCTTTAGTAATTATACGAACTAATTTCCACTTTCTAGGCTCCACCAAGAGCATGGAAATCAGTGGAAGAAAATGGCGGTGGAGCTTAGCAAACATAGGTGTCATGTAAAAGACACCTGGCGGAGGATAAGGTTGGAAAACAGGAAAATGGGTAATTTATTCTTTTCGTCAACCAGTGGTATTTGACCATTGTCCGTTAGTGATATGCAATGTTTTTTATTTTCTATGATTATTTAATTGCATTATTCTATTCAAGCGAATGCTTTTCTGACCTGGCTTATGCATTGTGTCAGTCATTGATTATACGAGCTATTTATATCACTCTGATGCAGCTTTTGAATGCCTTGTTGCATCTTCCATTGGATATGCCAATCTTGTTAAGTGTAAGGCGATGGTTTGACATGTCTTTATTGTCAGGTTTTCTTAATGCCATTGTATACAGTTTTGAATCATCTTGCATTTTAGTTATTTACATACCAATTTCCAGGTGACTTCAGTTATCCAAAATCACGAGAGTTTTCTTTGTCACATTCTGTGTTGCAACTTGGCTTTTCACGGACATTTAGATTTTCTTTGAAGTAACTTATTTACATCTCCACATGAGGTTTCATACTTCCAATACTGGACAAGCAACCCATTCATTATTTTTGTTGAAAGGCCAAAGGTTGCTCCTCATTTTACCTCACTAGTTGATGGATATCACTTACCTGAACTTGCTGGTCGGCTCTGGTTTTTGGTCAAATAAAAACCCTTTCTTAAAACCGTGGTGCCTCCTCTCCTTGTGCTCTAGAAAGAGTGACGCGGAGAGATGACGTGTGTGTGGTTCGAACCAACAAATGAAAGTTTGTGAGGTAAGGCTTACCTCACGAGGTGGGGTCGAGACACACCTGGGCGTAAAGCCCTCTTAGATCACAATTCGGAAAGCCCATCGACCTCTCGGCTTGGTTTGATTTCGGCTCCCTTGCATTGAGCTGCGCTTTGATTCACACGTTTTGGGATGGCTTGAAGAGGGTTGGCGACCCTCGGTTCGTCTTGAAGAGGTTGAAAGTGATAGGGGGCTGGTTTAAAGGGTTGGGTTTATGGGCTTTAGGGGTTAAAGGGTGGGTTGAGGGTTAAAGGTTTAAGAGGAAGAAGGAAATAAAACAAGAAGAAAAAGGCAAAGGAAATGAGAAAACGGGAGAAGGGGAGGAGATCACTCGTCAATCTGATAGCCTTCCGACGTTAGGTATTACTGGAAGCAACAAAAAGAGTATTAGACCGAAGCCTAAATACCCCAGACGATTCTTAAGGTCCTCAGAAGAGCCTCACAAAGAGTGTTCGAGTGAGTGATAAGTGAAGAAGTGATTAAATCAAGTGGGAAAGAGGAGTGAAACAGATGAAAAAGAAGCACAAAGAGGTGAGAAAGGAAGAGGGGACTCCTTAATGCTCGGATGGCCGTCCGGCGTTCCCTCCCCCATGAGGTATTATCGGGAACGACAGAAAGAGTATTAAACCGAAGTCTAAATACTCCGGAGGAGTCTTAAGGTCGCTATGTTAGGGGACGAACCTACTGCACCATGCGCCTCAGAAGAGCCTCACAAAGAGTAGTCCGAGCAAGAGAAGTGGAGTATGAAGATGAAGAGAGGGATGAAGTAGAAGAGAGAAGAAGAGAGAATGAGAGAGTGGGAAAGAGTAAAAGGGGAGAGAGAATGAGAGGATAAGAGAGAGTAAGCGAAAGGGGGAGAGAATGAGAGAGTGAAAGAGAGAAGAGTCGGAGATGGAGATGGAGAGGGAGAGGGAGAGGGAGAGGGAGAGGGAGAAAGAGAGAGAGATTTGGGGAGGAGAAGGGTGGGAGAGGGAGAAAGAGAGAGAGATTTGGGGAGGAGAAGAGTGGGAGTGGGAGAGGGAGAGGGAGAGAGAGAGAGATTGGGGGAGGCCAACCGGCGGCTGAGCTGCTTGTTCGTAGAGGAAGGGGGGGAGAGAAAGAGGGGAAAGTGGGGGAGAGGCAGGCCGGTGGCTCTCTAAGAGAGAGAGGGGCGAACCGGCGGTTCGGGAACGAGAACCAGAGTAAATTAGCACATGGCTCGGTCGACATATGAGGCAGGCATTTCTTTCAATGTTGTTTGCCTAGGCAGCTTCTACACCATGTGGAGACAATTGGCCAATGTGGGCCGCAGATTCCTTAGCCAAAGAGGAGCCTACTAGAAAATTTTTTGTAACTGATTTGCCTTAAATTCATGAAAAGAAGACTAATCTGCCTTAGCACCGGTTAAGCGAGGCCTCAGTTTTTGAAAAAAAACTGCACCTGGCTTTTTAAGTGTGAGTGAAACCATGTGAACGGATAAGTTCTATACCATACAAGTTGTCAATTTTATCAAAAAAAAAAAAAGGAACGATATTTTCAGGGTGGCAGGGTTAGCAGGGTTGAAAAATGGTTTCATTGCTCAATTGTGTCTACCTCAAGTTATGGGTTACATTCAAGAGTAATTTAATTTGAAAGATCCTGAAATTTGTGTTTTTGAGTAACGGTTTGAAGGTCCAAGGAATTGAGGTTTTCCCTTCAAGCTCTTAAATAAGATTCAAGGGATTGTATTTTTCCTTCATAAGAGTTGGTTCTCTGAACATTCTTAACGAAACATATTAGCACACCATTTGAAGATGCATATGTAGGGCTGAGAATTTACCCAGTTTGGATCTGAAACCCGAATTTTGGATCCTATTCGGATCTGGGTATGGATCCAAGATTTGGACCATAGTTAAGGGAACCGTGTGGGTAGGGGTGACGATCCCGCTTCGGAACCTCGATCCCACGGTTTCTACAGGGGATCTTGTAGGGTCCTCGGTTTTTTGATTTTGGGATCTCTCTCCCAAAAAAAGGGGACCACTTCCATCCATCAGTGGAATCCAGTTTCATATCGAAATAGATCCCCGCTCCCATCAACCATGGTCCAAGGTTTTGGTACATTAAAATCTTGAATTCCATGTTTGTGAGATCTACTTTCATTAATGGATGATACCAGGTTAGAGATTGGCATTGTCCCAAGTTCTCATTATTTTTGGAATCAGAAGTTCCATGATGGTAAAATCTAGTGCCTTTTTCGCATAGCACGTAGTTTTATTATTTTAGATTCTTAATTTGAACTAGGCATAGTCTAGAGCGACCTATTGCTTTATTAAGTCCGTGTATTCCATCCCTCTTACTTGTGAGAATATATAATGCATTTAACCTCTTATATTTATGATGTCCTATTGTTTTAGATTCTTAAATCACAATGATGAATGATGAATCCATAGATATTCTTTGATGTTTTCTTTTATTTCAAATAAGCCATCCCTCTTGGTTGTGTGATGAGAATATATGCTTTCATTTCAATCTTTAAATTTACAGGAGTCTTCTTTAACATCAAAGAGAGAGA